GTGTTTTCCTGAGGACCCAAGTCTCAATTCAGCTAGTCTTTGTGTTTAGCAGCCAAGTTGGCATGTGAAGATATTTCAGAATGCTGTTATTGCTACTCTTCTGCTTAATGTATTCCTTACCACCATAACATATCAATTTACCAATCAGCCATCAATAGACACATAGAGATAAAACATATTTACACACCATTCAAAAGAAGCAATAAAAAAGCTAAGAAGGAAACAAAAAGACCAGAACATACCCTCTCCAGCATCCAACACCCAGATAACAGCGGTTAACACCAGACAACCAATCAGGCAGAAAACAATACCCTAATCAAGGCACTACCAAGGAGAAAACCACACCCCCACCAACACTGGCAGAGCAAGCTACTGTATATAAACAGGGAGCAAATCTCACACTTACTTGTATGTTACTTAGTTGAGTAATGAAATGTCTGTAAGCAAACAACCAAGCTCAGACAGCATCAAGGACTCCACAATTCAACCCTGAGCTACATGTATTCTTTTCTATTGTTTCTGATTTCAGTTGATCAACCAGAAAGTATTCTCTGGTTATGAAAACATTCTTCCTCTCCCATCTGCAAGTCTAAATACCCCATCTCCCTGAATAATTTCAACCCCATTCTATTTTGTTTCCAGATAAAACACAAGTGGAAGCTAGCCTGAGTGGGTTCTGCGGGTTAGAGCTCTATGTATTTGTAAAGCAGGGAACATGAAGCCCTTTATAGGCTAGTGAAAACTGTTACTGAGCTCATCCCTTCATAGTCAAGTTCTCTAAGAGCCTGTGGTTAATTCTGTATCTACTGCCTTCAGCACGGTCAGATGCAAGAAGTCCTCTGAATGGGAGGACAACTTAGAAAAAGGTACCACAGTTTCCCTTTGGTGAAGTAGACAGTGTGTCATCCTCTTCTGATTCTCCAGGAATTCGAAGACCCTGTGTTCAGAAGCCATTACCGTCTTCATATTTCCAAATGTATGCAGCTGTTAATCTAGGGTTTCAGACTTTGAACAAGGCAGATGGATGGGCTGAACAGCTAATTAAAAATGTTATTATATATGATAGATGTTACAAACTAATGAATATTAAGCACAATAGTTTGATTTGATTTTATAAGTATATTTGCATCATTATAGTTTACACGGAATGTTTCTGCTTATAATGTTCTTAATGGAATTGGCTATAACATTATTTCATGTTTCTCTCTCTGTCTCTTCTTCAGATTGCCTTTTCACAGCACAACACCATCATGGACCTGGTGCAGTTTTTTGTTACTTTCTTCAGGTAGTGTTTCTACTTTTAATCATTTTATAGTATAACATTTGCTAAATCACTGACAAATGTCAGTCTTTAGCTACTCTACCCCTTGGATACTCTTTCTAATGCTGAGAGTCATTTTGATTGTGGTGGCATAGAAATCTGTTAACAAATAAATACAATCATAGTAAACAGTACTTTCGTAGATTATTATATAGTACGCAATATGCATGTATTATTGCATGCATTTATACATACAATATAGTTCATTATTTCATGTTAGCTATTTACCCTGTGAGCAGTTATATCTGCATACTGAATGTTGTCTTCCCATACTTAAAGTTAAGGTTCTATTACACGGTATGCTGCTGATTTTTCTCAGCATTTGCACTAGTAGGCTTTTATTTCTGTTTTTTTTTTTAATCCACACTTTATAATATTTTCAGCATAAGAGGATAAGTCTATTTCCACTCTACAGAGTTATTAGGGATGATACCCTGTGGCTCAATTTCCAGACTAGATTCATACAATATACTGTACCTTGGTTCAACTGTGTTTGATGAATAAATCACAACTGCTCAATACATTAACTTGTTAACAAAGTACAGTGGCTGGTTCCATACAGCAGATTAATCATATTATGGCATAGTGTGCATTGTCAACCAGGCCATAATTTTGTAGGAAGATAGCAAAGGATGTATTATTTTAGTGAAACCGTTGTTAAAATCGGTTCCAGCACAACATTAATCATGGTGAAGCCTGAAAAGGGGAAATTGCACTGAAGACTGGGAAGCATAGAATATTATGCTATCCACAGCAGTTCTATGCATCTTTATTTATACAAAACCTTTATTGTTTTGTGGTAAATATATATCCAATATTATTTTTGCAACTGTTTTGAAAAATTCCAGTAAAACAACTGCAATTAAAGTTAGATCACTGAAGACTGGGAAGCATAGAATATTATGCTATCCACAGCAGTTCTATGCATCTTTATTTATACAAAACCTTTATTGTTTTGTGGTAAATATATATCCAATATTATTTTTGCAACTGTTTTGAAAAATTCCAGTAAAACAACTGCAATTAAAGTTAGATGCTCAGCCTTCATTGTTAAAGTTGATGGGTTATATGACAAAGCTGGATGGTTCCAATAGTGTGTTTAATAATACCTTGATTCTATATTGGCCGGGGCTTGTTTCTTTTTTTTAAAAAAGCAGGTGAGTTTAAGCTCACAAGTCTATTTCTTGTCTGCTGCTTAGTGGGATATATTGAATAGAACAAAGTTGTCTTTCTTATCTTCAGCTTGTTTCATTATAATATCTGGGTGCTTTCTTAGGTCCTTACATTATGTCCTAGATATGACTGAGTGATACTCATACAGCAGCAGCCTCTTCAGTTTACTCCTGTGTCACAATTCATTTGGGCATTAGATAGAATTAATGTAAAGGTTGCATATCAAACATAAAAACCTACTTTAATAGATGGAATGCTGCATGAAACTACAACTTGTTTTAAACCTTATTTATGTTTTCCTAAACAAGGCTTAATTTTTTGGCTTTGTTTTTAGTGTTACGTTTCTTGAGTTTGTAAATATAATGAAAAAGCTATGACCTCAACATTAAAACATATAACATTTGCTTAGCTGTATTAATCTGCTGCAATAAAAACAATAAAATGAATTGTTTCTGTTTTATAGGTCACATTATCAAAACTTACAAATCCATTACTATCTGGGGGTTGTTATATCTCCATTTGCACAAATATCCTCAATATTTTATTCTACAGGGAAACTCTTCTAGCAAATGCTGGATTCCATGTGACCCCTTCCTCCTCTCCTCTAGTTTGTAAAAAGGCAGAACAAACATGGTAATTTAAATTCGTATAACTCTATCTATCTGAGATCTGGTGTGGTATAAAGGATAATGTGCTGAAGAAGGAGCAGGGAGGCCCAAGCTTTAGTTGTGTCTTAGGCACAGAAACTGGCTGGATAGCTTTTGACCCGTTATTCTCTTTCGGCCTTGGACTGGGGAGACCAAATACATCTACTTACCAACCCACACTGGACCAGCATGGTAGATTAAGTCCATAGCTGTCAATAATGAGACTTCAGTGGATTTTTTTTGGCTGATCATCTTCATCACATATACACACACTTGACTGTATGTATATTGTGACTAATGGTGACTTATACCTATGTTTAAATTCTATTGTTTATGTTCTTTTTAAAAAGCAAATTCACTGCGAACTAAACTTTACTCAGAGTACTAAAGTGCTAATTCAGGCACAGTATCTCCCAGAGTTTTTTTGAGATCCATTCACTTTTACAAATGTAAATTAATTGTTCCCTATAAAATCTCTTACGATGTCTTATATTGTTCTACATATTGTATAACTGCAGGGTCCCTTCTTAATGCATAATACCAATAGAAGATCCAGAATTCAAAGCGGGTTTTTTTTTTTTTACATTTTTTAAAATCTGCCTTTATTATTTTTATAAATAACTCAAGGCAGAGAACATATATAATACTCTTTCTTCCTCTTATTTTCCCCACAACAGCAACCCTGTGAGGTAAGTTAGGCTGAGGGAGAATGACTGGCCCAAAGTCACCCAGCCAGCTTTTCATGCCTAAGGCAGGACTAGAGCTTCCAGTCTCCTGGTTTCTAGCCTGGGGCCTTAACCACTAGACCAAACTGGCTCTCACATTTTCCTTGCATGTTTTAAACATATCAATTATTGAGCCCTTCTCAGTATATAAAAAAATTAGACTAAAGAGGTTCATGGAAGACAAATGTTTCCAAAGATCAATTTATCCTGTGGTGCAGAGAGTGAATTTTAACACAATATGAGAATGCACTGTTGGAGTATAATGGATCTTAATGGAGGGACGTGGTGGCGCAGGGAGTTTGCCGGTCAGAAATGGTTGGCACTCCAGCGGTTTGGGCCTGGCAACATGGGACGGGGTGAGCTCCCATCACTCATCCCAGCTCCTGCCCACCGAGCAGTTCGAAAGCGTTTCCATCTGCGAGTAGATAAATGGGGCCTCCCATCTCGGTGGGAGGAACTGGCGGTGCTGTGCAGGGAGCAACATACCAGGGTTGGACCGGACTCTGAACGCAACCGTCGTGAGCGACGATTGATGCGAGCAGTAAGGAAAGATCTACGGAGGAAGAAAAAGGCCAGACGTGCTGTGACTCCCTAGTAACCACTGCTGGTCACATAGTATAATATATCACTGTAGTTACTGTTAAGAATTGTTAGTCACTGTTAAGAATTGTATTAGAAT